ACCACCAGGTGCTCTTCCCCCCACCACCAGGTGCTCTTCCCCCACCACCAGGTGCTCTTCCCCCCACCACCAGGTGCTCTTCCCCCACCACTAGGTGCTCTTCCCCCCACGACCAGGTGCTCTTCCCCCCACCACCAGGTGCTCTTCCCCCACCACCATGTGCTCTTCCCCCCACCACCAGGTGCTCTTCCCCCACCACCAGGTGCTCTTCCCCCACCACCAGGTGCTCTTCCCCCCACCACCAGGTGCTCTTCCCCCCACCACCAGGTGCTCTTCCCCCACCACCAGGTGCTCTTCCCCCCCCACCAGGTGCTCTTCCCCCACCACCAGGTGCTCTTCCCCCACCACCAGGTGCTCTTCCCCCACCACCAGGTGCTCTTCCCCCACCACCAGGTGCTCTTCCCCCACCACCAGGTGCTCTTCCCCTACACCAAGGCCACGTGGGGCAGCACCTGAGAGACATGTTCGTTTCCCCCGAGGCACAAGCCCACATGCTGCTTCTGCGCGCCCAGATCGACCCCCACCTCTCTCTCACTCACCCCCTCCCTTTTCCCCCCCCACCGTCCCAGGTGCTCTTCCCCTACGCTAAGGATCACGTGGGGCAGCACGTGCTCGACACCTTCGACTCCCCCGAGACCCAGGCCGACATGCTGCTGCTGCGCGCCCAAATTGATTACGACATAAAATCCTCTGTCCCCGGTCCGAACCTGTCCCCCCCTTGGAAGCTGGGAAGGAGGCGGTGGTGGGGGCGCTTGAGAGGAACGCAGGGGCAGGGGCAAAGCACTAATAGCAACCTCTACTGCTCTATCTTTCCCATCCCAGGTCCTCTTCCCGTATGCCAAGGCACACGTGGGGCAGCACCTGCTTGACACCTTCGACACACCTGAAACTCAAGCAGACATGCTGCTGCTGCACGCTCAGATCGACGAAGACGTCAAATCCTCTGTCCCCGGCGCCGAACCTGTCCCACCCCTGGAGGCCGGGAAGGAGGCAGTGGTGGGGGCGGTGGAGCGGAACGTAGCGGTGATGATAGCGGCGGACAGGAAGGGAAACTCTTCTTCCATCCTCCCTTCTCCTCTCCCGCCCCCACCCCTCCCCCCCCCACCCCCACCAGGTGCTCTTCCCGTACGCTAAAAGCCACGTGGGGCAGCATCTGCTTGACACCTTCGACACACCTGAAACTCAAGCAGACATGCTGCTGCTGCGGGCACAGATCGAAGAAGACATAAAATCCTCTGTCCCCGGTGCCGAGCCCGTGCCACCCCTGGAGGCCGGGAAGGAGGCGGTGGTGGGGGCAGTGGAACGGAACGTGGCGGCGATGATAGCGGCGGATAGGAAGGTGACGGCGCTGAAGCAGCTGCAGGGGCATATCTGGCGGGGCGGGTACGAGAAGGGCGAGCTGAAAGGAGAGTTCTTCAGCGATGTGCTCACGGCGCTGACCCAGTGGCAAGCTGCTGGCTGCAAGGTGGGTTGTTTTCTGATCCCCGGTGTCCCAAAAGGTAGTGTTTGTGAGGTGCGGGAGGGGCCTTGGGCAAGGCAGCAGTCGAGAGGAACGTGGCGGCGATGATAGCGGCGGACAGGAAGGTGACGGCGCTGAAGCAGCTGCAGGGGCATATTTGGAGGGGCGGGTACGGGAAGGGCGAATTGAAAGGAGAGTTCTTCAGTGACATGTTCACTGCTCTCACCCAATGGCATGGTGCCTCATTCTCTGGTTTGTGTATCAGGGCCATATCTGTGTGACTTTTGAGAATTCTCATAAGTGGTTTTCCTGTGCTTTTTTTCACCCCCGCCCCCCTCTTCCTCTCCCCCCCTCTATCAGATCTACATCTATTCGAGTGGCAGCAGGGAGGCGCAGCACCGCATCTTCTTTTGAGGCGCCTCAAAAGTCCTCTCCCCCCCTCCCTCCCCCCGCAACACCACCCCCTCCCCCTCCTCTTCCCCACTCCATATCAGATCTACATCTATTCGAGTGGCAGCAGGGAGGCGCAGCACCTCATCTTCGGCTATTCCAATGTGGGCGACCTGAGGCGCTTCATTAGTGGCTTCTTCGATACCACCACAGGGTCCGTTCACACATCCTACCGATGCCCGCATACTCTTACGCTAAAACTGTTTTCTCTTTCTTTCTTTCTTTGGTGATTCGGATGTCTGTGTGTTTTCTTGATTGTTTGTGCCTCGTTTTCACCCGTTCGATGGACCCCCCCTCTCCTCCTTCCTCTCCGCCTTCTTCCCCTTTCAGTCTTTCCCCTTCCTTACCCACCCTCCCTCCCACCCTTCCTCTCACCCTCCCTCGTAACAGCCACAAGAGGGAGGCGCGTAGCTACTCGGAGATCGCTCTTACTCTGGGTGCTCACTCCCCATCAGACATCACCTTCTGCACCGACATTCTTGAAGAGGCTCAGGCCGCCAAGCAAGCAGGTGGGTGATAATAGGCAAGCAGATGGGCAGGGGTGGGTGTGCAGCTACTTGGAGATTGAGCTTTCTCTGGGTGCTGACTCCCCGTCACACAACACCTTCTTCACCGACGTTCTAGAGGAGGCACAGGCCGCCAAGCAAGCAGGTGAGTCGCGATCCTGTGTGCCCGCGTGCAGGTCAGCAACATTAGGCAGGTAGCTGTGCTGTGGCTCTCTCACATGACCAGTGGACGTCACCCGTGCATGCCCCCTCACGTCACACATCACCTTCTGCACCGACATCCTTGGGGAGGCACAGGCCGTTAAGCAAGCAAGTGAGAAGGGATGAGCGTGTATGCATGCAGACCTTAGTCGTTCCCCTCACTACCACTGGTCTCACCGTCACACATCACCTTCCGCACCGCCATCCTGGAGGAGGATCAGGCTGCCAAGCAAGCAGGTGAGCGGGATGGGCGTGTGTATGCGTGCAGGTGAATCGCAGGCAGGCAGTTGTGCCGTGTGACTTGTTACCACTGGTCTCACAGTCACACATCACCTTCTGCACCGCCATCCGTGAGGAGGCACAGGCAACAAAGCAAGCAGGTGAGTAGTTCAAACGAGCATGTACCTTAGGAGGGCAGGGAAAATTTTAATGAATTTTATCCATGCGTGGTGCACAAATCCTTTTTTTACGAACAATTTTTTTTTTTTTTTTTTTTTTTTTTTTTTCTGCAGGCGGTGCTGCTCTCTCGCCCAGGCAACGGTGCCCTGCCTGCCGAACCTTGAGTCGACTCAAAATTCCCAACCCGCCTGTTCCATCCAACCCTCCCTCGCACCCACCCACCCACCCAACCACCCACAGGTCTGCAGGCGGTGCTGCTCTCTCGCCCGGGCAATGGCGCCCTGCCTGCGGACCCTGGCTTCCCTGTGCTCACCTCTCTCACCGACCTCTAGAGTGTTCTTCCACTATGAAGACTCTGCTGCCTTCCACAGCAGCTTATTAAAACGAGTTTTTGAGAGAGCGCTTCAAAGCGGCAGTTCGAAAATTGCTATTTTATAATGCTTGTTGACATGGCCTTTGGTAGGAAGTTTGCGCTGACGCAAATTAATATATGTTGTGAGCTTCCAAAAGCACAAGTTGTCAACTTAACATGCTCAAGTGGGGTCTCTTGCTAAGGAACTATCCGCATGGGGTCCTAGCATCCAATATTCCTGACTGTGCAGATGGTATATATTAGATAATGCACAAGGACTTGGAAGATACGGAAGGAGTCGTTTGGACTGAATAGATTTCCGTAATACAATACGTGAATAGAGACGGGACATCCGACTACAAACGCGAACAGATTACCATCGAGACTGACGATGCCGCGTGAACTAGCACAATGAACGTTCAGGTGCCAAGTACCGATTCAGTTAGCAGATTCTGTCAGATTCACTATCTAATTCACAGCCTGGGTCCCGACAAGTACTATCTCCTTCTCACGCTTCGCCTGGCGGCGATTCGGAGGAAGGATGGACGGTCGAAATTCGCCTGACAGCGATCAGCTCTACGCGTCACTTGCGACCGACCGTGCTTCACGGGTGCCTGCATCTCGTGGCATCCTCTGCTTGCTGAGCCCTTTGCTGGCCCCTGTGCTGACCCCTTCCCGCCGCCTATCGACGAGGAATATGAGCAGTGAAGCACCTTTCTGGCACCTCCGTCCCGATCTTTTCCCTGGCGTTCCAGCGGGAATGACGCCTTTCGAACCACCATGACCCACCTTTTCCGACGGCCCTCGTCCCACTACCCTTCGGCCTTCGTCCCGTTTCGCTTCACGGCGCATGCGCGGCGAAACGGGACCATCCCAAGGGAGGACTGTCGCTGGAATAGCAGGCAGAGCAGATGATCGCTGCTACTACCACTCGCCGCGATTCGGGAATCACATTTTAAGAGCCTCCAGAATTGGTCTTTCCTACTGCTCAATGCGTTCGGGTTCGTTCGGATGCCTATTAGTGTAAACTGCGGAACTCCGCACCGCGCCAGCATAATCCATCCCACCGGAATTCAACCAGTTTTACCAGGCGCTCATTCCTGCTGACCAATCCCAGCTCACTCGTGGGTGGCCTAAATAACTCCATCAATCAAACGTTCAAGCTCACCATTCGCTCGCCGCGACACGAAACCCTTTTTTGAAAACGTCCATTCTCCGCTTCTCCGCCTCCCCATTCCGTATTCTCCCGAGAGGAAGCCTGAGAAAGAGACTCTCGGGTCTCTAGCCTCAGTGTATCGGATACTTTTTCCTCCTGCCTAGGTGGTGCAGCAGGATGGTTGCTGCGTTAAGCTTTCAACCGGAGAATGCTACACGGAGGATGAGGCTCTGCATTCAACGAAATCAGACGCTCTGCTTCAGTGGGCTTCTGCTGGGCCTCCTGTGGAACACTTGTCTCCTCTCATGCCGAGTCGGAGCAGTAGGAGTTTCTGGTGCTTGGCGAAGAAACCTGGCTGGACTGGCGAACAGAGGCGAATCCAGCTGGAGCAGGTGGTTACCAGGGGAGACGCTTGTGGAGTCAAGGGGAAGACCGAGATCCGAAGGGGTGAATGAGGAAGAGGCGAGGGGTAAAGTGATGGCGGCAAGAAAGGAAGGGATAGAGTCCAGGGGGGAAGGTATAGCAGCAAGAGGGGAAGGGATGGAGGCGAGGGGGGATGACGTAGTGGCGAGGTTAGAACGTGTAGGTCAGAAGCGGAGCAAAAGAGGGGGAGTGAGGAGGAAACTGGTGCTAGAGGCATCATCAGGCGCAGCGTGTGGGGAGGGCGGAGAGGCAGGCACAGGGGGGGCTGCGAGGGGCGAGAGGAGGGTGATAGAGGCGTGGAGGCCCGTCAAGGGGCGGTACCTGCTCGCGCTCTGCACCTACGGCCGCCTCTCCAACCAGGTGAGGCGGACTGACCAGGCGTCTCCTTACTCTCCCCTTCCCGTCATCCCCTCGTGAGTCACCATCCTCTCTCTCGCACCCGTTTTAGCCTCCAACCCCTTTTCCCCCGGGCCCCCCTTTCCCATCCTCCTTTCACCACCCTCTGGAAGCGTGTGAGCACAGCACATGTACGTACGTGGCCCTGGCAGCCCTATTGAACCGCACGATCATCATCCCACGGCACGGCTTTGCCATCTCAGTGGTGGCGGAGCGGAGTACTGGTGGGGCCATTATGAACGCCCTAATACATCCCTCCCTTCGACCTCCCTCTCCCCCTCCTTCCCTTCCCCCCACCCCCCTTTCTCCCACTCACCCCAACCAACAGGAAGCGTGCATGCACATGTATTTGGCCCTGGCAGCGCTCCTTAACCGAACGCTCATCATCCCGCGCCACGGCTTTGCCATCTCAGTGGTGGCGGAGTATCGCTGGCAGTGGGGCGTCATTGTGAACGTGCCCCACATGCGCTCCTGCCTCGTGCCGCACTACCCCTCACCCCTTCCTGCTGCTTCTACTGGCTCTCCTGGATCCGCTGCTGGGGCTGCTGCTGCTGCTGCTGCTGGCTCTGCTACTGCTGCTGGCAGTGGCGTTACCTCTGGCAACAGCAGTGGCAGTGATGGCGGCAGCAGTAGGGGAAGTGATGGCAGCAGCAGCAGCAGCGGTGATAGTAGTGAATGGAGCTGGCAGGCAGCCAATGGGGAGGTGCCGAGTGTGATCAGCCAGGACGAGTACGAGGCACTGGAGGGGCGCAACCTCACTGTGGACCGGATAGCGTGTGTTGTGCCACACACGTGCCTGAGCCACCCGCAGATGGTGAGTGTGCGTGCGTGTGTGTGTGTGTGTGTGTGTGTGTGTGTGTGTGTGTGTGTGTGTGTGTGTGTGTGTGTGTGTGTGTGTGTGTGTGTGTGTGTGTGCCAGTAACAGTACATGTCCATGCATGAACCCACGAGGCGTTGGAGAGGCGAGGCCTGACTGTCAACCAGATCGCATGTGTTGTGCTTCACACCTGCCTGAGCCACCCACAGATGGTGAGTGTGGCTGCGCGTGTGTGTGTCAGCCAGAGTCTGTTTCTCCCACCCGCACACGCTTAGTGTGCCTCTGCTGCCCGCAAATGCACCCATCTTTCCCCTATCCCTTTCCCGCTTCCCGTGCTTTATTCCTCGTTCTCCCCCTTCCTTCCCCTCCTCGTTCCTCCTCAACCAGGAGTTCAAGGCCCTACCTGACATCACCTTCACCTCGCACCTGGAGTACCTGCCTCTGCACTCGCACCACCTCGACATCTGCCGCGCGTGCTCACAAGCACCCATGCCACTCGTCCAACTCACTCCTCCCTTTCCTCCACCTTCCCCCCCCCAACCAGGTGTTCAAGGCCCTGCTGGACATATCCTTTGCCTCGCACGAGTACCCCCCTCTCCACTCCCACCACCGCGAGCTATTGCACGTGCTCACACGCACTACCGCCACTTTTCAATCGCAATCGCAACTCATTCCTTCCTCCCATCTCTTCTCGCCTCCCCATGTGTCCAAGGCCCTGCCAGACATTACCTTTGCCTCGCACCTTGAGTACCCCCCTCTGCACTCCCACCACCTCGACGAGCTCCTGCACGTGCTTCCAAACACAGACGCCACTCATCCAACTCATTCCTTCCTCCCCCCTTTTATTGGCCCCTCATGTCTCCCCCTCTCCCCAACCAGGTGTTCAAGGCCCTACCAGACATCAATTTCGCCTCGCACCTGGAGTACCCGCCTCTGCACTCGCACCACCTCGACGAGCTCCTGCACGTGTTCTCCAGCACCGATGAAACAGGGCAGGTGGCTTCTGAGTGGACGCAAGAGGCACAGCAGCAAGGCATGAGGGAACCAGCAGCTGCGTCTGCTCTCGCTTCTTCTGCTTCACACCCCACTGCTACTCTTCTCCAACCACCCACCATGGCTGGGAATTACAGCAGCAACGCAACACTCTCACCTTCTTCCTCTTCCTCCTCTCCCCCCTCTCTCTCCTCCTCCTCACCCTCCTCCTCGCCCTCCACCTCTCTCCCCTACGCCGCAACGCCAGTGCTCTCCCTCGGTGATCTCAACGGGCTCACCCTTGCCGGTCTGCCCTTTGACATGTTCTCTCCTCACCCGCCCTTCCGCCTCTCCTGTGTCGACCTCTGGCTGCCCCCTCCACCGGTGGAGGGGCTCGTGACCGGATTTATAGACACCTTTCTGGGGGGAGACTACGCGGCAGTGCATCTCAGGAGGTGAGCTGTCAAGCACCTACACACCCACACACACACACTCGCCCTTGTGGTGCCGAGGTGACTTTTAAGTCAACTCAAAAGTCACCACACACTCGCCCTTGTGCTGCCGTGCACCTTAGAAGGTGAGCTGTCAGGCACATGTGCTCTGCTGTTCATTCGCCCCGCACCCGCCCTTCCGCCTCTCCTGCATCAACCGCACACCAGACCAAGAGGCTAGATCCATCAGATCTTCTCCTCATGGGGGTCGATGGTTGTAATAGGAGAGACTCACCCATTCCCCTTGCTCCTTCAGAGCTGACTTTTCCAGGGTGTACCACCGCACGCACCAGACCAAGTGCCATCCCGCCTTCCTGCCCATCATATCAGTGAGTCATAATCAGAGAATCTAAGCTCGCCTTCCCATCCACCTCTCCTCTCTGTCCACCCCGCCTTGCGTGCAGGTCCGATTTCTCCCGGGTGTACCACCACGCACACCAAACCAAGAGCCATCCCGCCTTCCTGCCTATCGTGGCAGTGGGGCGATTCATTATGAGGCGCCTGGCCGATCGCAGCGTAACAGCTGTCTACCTCGCCACTGACGCCAGCCAGTACGAAGTGGAGCTGCTGGAGAGGCTTCTCATGGGTGAGCCGCCTGCTGCTGTTGTCGCTAAGAGGCTTTGAGAGGCTTTGAGAGCCTTCTGTTTGCCAGCCAGTGCGAGGTGCAGCTGCTGGAGCGCCTTTTCCTGGGTGAGCCGCCTGCTGCTGCTGCTGCTGCTGCTAATGTCGCCTCTACTCACTCTCCCTCTCTCCTTTGCCCTCTCACATTGTTTTACCAGCTTCAGCCATCGCCCGTTGGGTATCCCCGTGCTTGTGTCGTTGCTGTGCGTTTCTTCTAGTGAAGACTCGTCCAACTCTGACTCAATCCTTCCTGCTACCATCATCCCCTCTGATTCAGCCATGGCCCCTGGGAACACGGTGTGTCTGAGTGTACTATTAGGCGCCTCATAAGTCATCTGATTACCTGCGATTTTCCAGGAGATGCTTGCCTTTTATTTGGTTAAAAGCCCCCCCCCCCCCCCCCCCTCCTCTTTCCAAGTCCCCCCCCCCCCATCTCACGCCATTGTCCCCTCTGCTGCGGCAGGCATGGCGCGCAGCAGTCCCCTCGTTGTGCTGTCTTTCGAGTCGACTCAAAGCTTCCAGAAAAACACTTGTGAATCAAGATTTCCCCCCCCCCCCAATACCACCATGGTCCCTCCCATCTAATGCAGGTATGGTGCCCGGCAGTAACTTTCGAGACTTCTCAGAAGTGAAACAAACAAAGGCCTGTGACTCAATGTTCCCCCTGGTTACCACCGTATTCCCTCCCTCCCATGTACTGCAGGCATGGCGCGCAGCAGTCCCCTCGTTGTCCTGTCTTTCGAGTCGACTCAAAGCTTCCAGAAAAAGCTTGTGACTCAACAACATTCCCCCGTCCGTACCGCCATGTTCCCTCCCATCCCATGCACTGCAGGAATGGCACCCGGCAGTCCCCTCATTGTGGTGCGACTGCCGGCCTTTGGCGCCACTTCGGATGAATACCAGCGCTTCCCGTGGGTCAAGGTAAACACACACATGCTGCGATTCATCAAGAGCCCCCCCAAACACTCCCCTCATTGTGGTGCGCCTCCCGGCCTTTGGCACCAACTCTGACGAGTACCAGCGCTTCCCATGGGCCAAGGTAGACACAACCCTCTAGTTGCACAGAGCACAGCGCTTCATGTGCTTTTCTTGTTTTTGGTTCCTCAGAGCACACCGCTCGTTATGGTGCGTGTGCCGGCCTTTGGAACTGCTTTCTGTGAATGCCAGCGCTTGCCGTGGGTCAAGGTTCATGCGGACAGGATGCCGGTAGGTAGTTGATTGATACCTAGTTTGCAAAGCACATCCTTATTCAAACCTGTTTCCCTCCCTTCTCCCCCTTTTCTTCCCCCTTCTTACCAATTGTCCCCCCTTCTTTTCCCCTTTTCCCCTTCTCACCTCTTCACCCCCTTTTTTCACTTTCTCCCCAGTTCCCCCCCTTTCTCCCCTCTTCTCCCTGTTTTCCCCCCATTCTTCCCCCTTCTCCTCCCTTCTCCCCCTTTTTCCCCACTTCTCCCCTTTTGTTCCCACTGCAACCCCATTCTCCCCCCTTCTTCCCCTTTCTCCCCCCTTCTCCCCCTTTCTCCCCCGTCCTATCCCTTTCTCCCACCTTCTCCCCATTTCCTCCCCCTTCTCCCCCCTTCTCCCCCCTTCTCCTCCCTTCTCCCCCCTTCTCCCCCCTTCTCCCCCTTCTCCCCCTTCTCCCCTTCTCCCCACATCTCCCCCCTTGTCCGCATCTGTGCAGACATTTCACGAGGCCGAGAGGGACATGGAGGGTGGTACAAACACCAACGGCATTGCGAGAGCGCTTGCAGAGAAGCACATATGCGCACGGGCGAAGCATTTCATCGGGACTCCTTACTCGTCCTATTCCAAAGACATCTTTCGCATGCGAGAGGTGCAGGGCTTGGCGTCTTGCGCTGATGCTTATATTGAAGCAATTTAGACTGATAGCGAGCTGATGACATGCATTGGTGCTAGGTCGAGTAGAATAAGAGCTAGAGACTATGCTGCATTGGTATCTCTAGGTCGTAAGCTAGAGTGAGCCAGTCTGCCGATTTGCAATCACTTTCACTTCTAAAATGAGGAACTAACATGCCCACTGCAAATAAATTAGAAGAACAAAGTAGGTTTCTATACGTATCGTACCGTATAGTGCATTTCTCAGGTCTTTAGACGAAGAATACAACTCCTACCCAACCCCTTCGGATGTGAGCTGCGGGGAGGGGAGTTGCTGCTGTGGTTTCAGTGAGGCGGAGACATATCATATCTACATTTCAGTTTTCTCACTAAAGGGAGCACCTTTAGAGGATATACTGTCTTTGTATTCCTAGGCAGAGCACCTTAGACTTATCATATCTACATTCTAATCTAGCTGCTGTTGGGAGTTGGGTTAGTCTTATAGACAATCTTAATAGGCTGAAAGCGGATGTGCTTGAAACGCGGTCACGGAGGCGAGTCAGTTCAGACTTCTGTTGCTGCAACTGAGAGTTTCAGTACACGAAAATGCACCTGAACTCTCTCGGCTACGAATTAGATTCCCCATTTCTTCGCTGGCTGTAGTTACACATACGTATCTGATACTCCATCAAGCAGGCAGCCCGGACATCGCGGCAGTACAATTACCTCGATAACCTGCGCCCCGTGGTCCGGTTTTTGTCCTCGTGCGAGCTGCGGCGGCGAATCTCCAGGCCGGAAAATGTTAGCTGGCGGCTACAGGCGGAGTGACCCACTGGAGGACAACCACGCCCCTACTAGAATCATTCCACCTAGCAGTACTACAAGAGGACGCTCGTTCAGAACTTTGCGGAGGTGTGATGCGGCCGTTACAGGTGATACTCCGTCAACTCTCCTCCCCAAGCTTGTTCATCTCCAGAAAGGAAAGCCTCTACTAGTGACCTTTCTGTCTCAGAATCGCCGCCGCTGTAACACCTCGCTACCCACTGGGTCAAAACGAGGGTGTTATTTGGCGCAGCGGAGTGACAAAGTTTGAAGAAAGAAAGAGGGGGTTGAACTAGCAAGAATGAGGATACAAATAGCAAACCCTAGAAGGGTTGTACTCGCTATAGAGCACCCCACTACAGGCTAGAACATAAGATAATATTCTGACACACCCCCATAGCCAAAGTGGGGTGTAATCAGCAGAGCTGGCAAAGCAATACAAGCTCAGGGTGGATCACAATGTCACCACACATTCTGAGCACTAGTTGAAGAAGAAATAGTTTAGAGTTCACAGTTATGAGCAAAGCTAGTGGTAGTCACAACGGGCAAGTGAGGAGGAGGAGGGAGTGTGAGGGGAGAGGAGATAGGAGGCGACGGCTGAAGCTGCAGACACACGGGCAACAGGAGGCAGACTGGCACAGCGGCTACCGGACAGCGCCCGGACTACAGGAGTAACAGGCCCCGCGGCTCAAGTAGCGGCAGACGGGCAACGGACCCACGGGCGGCTGGCGTAGAAGTCTAGCTCAATGGGCTACCGGGACAGCGCCCCGGACTACAGGTGCTGCTGACGACAAACTGGCAACCTCCGCTCATCCTCCCACACACAGTCCCACCCCCCTGATACACACCCGCTGCTACACCGCTAGCTCCACTCCCACGCACCCCCCTTAAACCCTAAACCCCAGTCTCCCACACAACCACCCCCCTCAGCGACAGCTGCAGCAGTGGGAGACGAAGGAGGAGGAGGAGCAAAGGGAGGAAAGCACACCGGCCACCCCCATACCCGCCACCCCTCAGGTCACCACGACAGACGACGGGAAATGGGGGGGGGGAGGAGGGGGGGGGGGGGGGGGGGGGTGTCAGAATGTTATCTTATGTTCTAGCCTGTAGTGGGGTGCTCTATAGCGAGTACAACCCTTCTAGGGTTTGCTATTTGTATCCCCATTTCTGCTAGTTCAATCCTCTTTCTTCCTTCTAATTTTGTCATGCTATCAGAGCAGGTCGATCCCTTTGGATCGATCCTGTGGGTGGGTTACCACCTCCACGCTTCCGCTACTATTTTTTCTTCCCGCCGTGCGCCCCGAGGCGCGCGGCGGTCTTCTGCCCGCCGCGCGCCCCGAGGCGCGCGGCGGTTTTCTGCCCGCCGTGCGCCCCGAGGCGCGCGGCGGTTCTCTGCCCGCTGTGCGCCCCGAGGCGCGCGGCGGGCTTCTGCCCCGTCGTTCGTCGCGTCGCCCTCTGGAGGCGCCGCGACGGGCGACGGGGACCCGTCGCGGCCCCGCCGCCCCACCATCGCGGCCCCGCCACCGACCTGTCGCGGCCCCGCCGCCCCACCATCGCGGCCCCGCCACCGACCTGTCGCGGCCCCGCCACCTCCGGTCGCGGCCGCGCCACCTTCTGTCGCGGCCCCGCCACCGACCTGTCGCGGCCCCGCCGCCCCATCATCGCGGCCCCGCCGCTTTCCTTCGCGGCCCGTCGCCCTACTCGTCGCGGCCCCGCCCCCCCCCCCCCCCCCCCCCCCCCCTCCCCCCCGTTTCCCGTCGTCTGTCGAGGCGACCTGAGGGGGCCGCTTGCGGTGGGGGTGGCGGGTATGGGGGTGGCGGGTATGGGGGTGGCCGGTGTGCATTCCTCCCTTTGCTCCTCCTCCTCCTTCGTCTCCCACTGCTGCAGCTGTCGCTGAGGGGGGTGGATGTGTGGGAGACTGGGTTTAGGGTTTAAGGGGGGTGCGTGGGAGTGGAGCTAGCGGTGTAGCAGTGGGTGTGTATCAGGGGGGTGGGACTGTCTGCGGGAGGTTGAGTGGAGGCTGCCAGCTTGTTGTCCGCAGCACCTGTAGTCCGGGGCGTTGTCCCGGTAGCCCAGTGAGCTTGTCGCTGCGCCAGTCGCCTGTGGGCCCGTTGCCCGTCTGCCGCTGCTTAACCGCGGGGCCTGTTGCTCCTGTAGTCCGGGCGCTTAGTCCGGTAGCCACTGTGCTCGCCACTCCTGTTGCCCGTGTGTCTGCAGCCTCAGCCGCCGCCTTCTATCTCCTCTCCTCTCACTCTCTCTCCTCCTCCTCACTTGCCCGTTGTGACTACCACTAGCTTTGCTCATAATTGTGCACTCTAAAGTATTTCTTCTTGAACTTGTGCTCAGAATGTGTGGTGACATTGTGATCCACCCTGAGCTTGTATTGCTTTGCCTGCTCTGCTGATTACACCCCACTTTGGCTATGGGGGTGTGTCAGAATGTTATCTTATGTTCTAGCCTGTAGTGGGGTGCTCTATAGCGAGTACAACCCTTCTAGGGTTTGCTATTTGTATCCCCATTTCTGCTAGTTCAATCCTCTTTCTTCCTTCTAATTTTGTCAAGGGGGGGGGGGGGGGGGGGGGGGGGGGGGGGGGGGGGGGGGGGGGGGGGGCCGCGAAGTGGGGCGGCGGGGCCACGAAGTGGGGCGGCGGGGCCGCGACGGGTCGGTGGCGGGGCTGCGACGGGTCGGTGGCGGGGCCACGACCGGAGTTGGCGGGGCCGCGACCGGAATTGGCGGGGCCGCGACCGGAGTTGGCGGGGCCGCGACCGGAGTTGGCGGGGCCGCGACCGAAGGCGGCTGGGCCGCGACGCAAGGCGGCAGGGCCGCGACCGGAGGTGGCGGGGCCGCGACGGGTCTATGGCAGGGCCGCGACCGAAGGTGGCGGGGCCGCGACCGGATTTGGCGGGGCCGCGACCGGAGTTGGCGGGGCCGCAACCGGAGGCGGCTGGGCCGCGACGTGAGGCAGCAGGGCCGCGACCGGAGGTGGCGGGGCCGCGACGGGTCGGTGGCGGGTCCGCGACCGAAGGTTGCGGGGCCGCGAGAGTGGGGCGGCGGGGCCGCGACGGGTCCCCGTCGCCCGTCGCGACGCCTCTAGAGCGGGACGCGGCGAACGCCGCGGCAGAAGCTCGCCGCGCGCCTCGGGGCGCACAGCGGGCAGAGAACCGCCGCACGCCTCGGGGCGCACGGCGGGCAGAAAACCGCCGCGCGCCACGGGGCGCACGGCGGGCAGAAAACCGCCGCTCGCCTCGGGGCGCACGGCGGGAGGAAAAAAAAAAAAGTAGCAGCGGAAGCGAGGTGGTAACCCACCCACAGGATCGATCCACGGGGATCGATCTGCTCTGATAGCATGACAAAGTTTGAAGAAAGAAAGAGGGGGTTGAACTAGCAAGAATGAGGATACAAATAGCAAACCCTAGAAGGGTTGTACTCGCTCTAGAGCACCCCACTACAGGCTAGAACATAAGATAATATTCTGACACGGAGTGCCCTTAACACAGCCCACAGGCGTTACACTCGTCCTGTCAGAATATTATCTTATGTTCTAGCCTGTAGTGGGGTGCTCTATAGCGAGTACAACCCTTCTAGGGTTTGCTATGTGTATCCCCATTCTTGCTAGTTCAATCCTCTTTCTTCCTTCTAATTTTGTCATGCTATCAGAGCAGGTCGATCCCCTTGGATCGATCCTGTGGGTGGGTTACCACCTCCACGCTTCCGCTACCACTTTTTTCTTCCCGCCGTGCGCCCCGAGGCGCGCGGCGGTTTTCTGCCCGCCGTGCGCCCCGAGGCGCGCGGCGGTTTTCTGCCCGCCGTGCGCCCCGAGGCGCGCGGCGGTTCTCTGCCCGCTGTGCGCCCCGAGGCGCGCGGCGGGCTTCTGCCCCGTCGTTCGCCGCGTACCCCTCTGGAGGCGTCGCGACGGGCGACGGGGACCCGTCGCGGCCCCGCCGCTTTCCTTCGCGGCCCCGCCACCTTCGGTCGCGGCCCCGCCACCGACCTGTCGCGGCCCCGCCGCCTCCGGTCGCGGCCGCGCCACCTTTTATCGCGACCCCGCCGCCCCACCTCCGGTCGCTGTCGCGGCCCCGCCACCGACCTGTCGCGGCCCCGCCGCCCCATCATCGCGGCCCCGTCGCTTTCCTTCGCGGCCCGTCGCCCTACCCGTCGCGGCCCCGGCACCCCCCCCCCCCCCCCCCTCCCCCCCCCCCCCCCTTTTCCTGTCGCCCGTCGCG